CTCGCGTCGAGACACCTCCGTTGGCTCCTTCTCTCCATCTGGGTTAGGGTTTTGACTTGTTCCTGCCTGGGTCAACACTTGCAGCTTCACGCCGGTTGGAGTTACAGGTGTTTCTCCGCCCAACGTCAGTCCTGGTGGTGGAAGTCCTCCGAATGGTGGCATCCCCATCATCTGCATTACGGGGTGTTTGGTGGTGGAGAGCGGTGGTGGCCTCTTGTCCATCCACGTCCCTCTAAATTCCTCGCTCAAGTCCCTCTGCAAGCCCTCCTTCTCCGCCATCAGCAAACAGATCGGAGCTGGGTGTGAAGCTCTTCCTTCCTTAAAGAACTCCCCACAGACGGCGCCAATATGATGGGTCTACTTCTAGATCTGGAGTAAACCGGTTGTTGTGAGCTCAGATCTGCTTGAACCGCTTCTCAACCGTTGCTAGACCGCGAGATTCCTGCAAAAACTCAACGCCGGAGGTGTTTCCGGCGAAGAGCCTCCGACGCTCAAGTCAGTATGAGAGTGATGAAGGGATGTTGCGCAACAGCTATGGGGGAGAGTGGGAATGAATGAGAATTAGGGTTTGAGTTACCTCGCCTCCTTTATATAGGAGTGAATACTTACTTGAAGTGCCCAAAATGCCCAAGTCGGTGGACCTAGAAGGTCCAAAATACCCTGGTCGATTCATCTCCCCTTGTCGCTGAGTCATCGCAAGATCCCTTCTTATCCTTTGTAATGTGTAGAGCTTCGGATATGTTGCAAGTGTGGTGAATCGTCTTTACCACTTTGATCCTCGAGATGTACAGAGTCGACCTCGAGAACTAGGAGGTCGACTTATGAATATGTGCGGTTTCGGAGGCTACGCCTGGTTTAACTCTCTGTGGTGAAGTCGTCTTCAGAGAGTCGTCATGGTGAAGTCGACTAGTGGAAGTCGACCTAGAGTATCTGGATGCTTGGGAGTTACACCCTTGATGTTCTTCTCCCCTTGATGTCGACTAGTAAAAGTCGATTGATGGAAGTTGACTTGTTAGAGTCGACTAGACCAATTTCTGCCTCTTCTTGATTGCTCTCGGTAGGATCGACTTTAGGGAAGTCGATTTGATCATGTTGACGGGGTCATGTCGACGTGTGAGTCATTCAAGTGTTTCATCAGTCGAGTAGAAAGCCTCTGGACCGGGTTATCCTTATGTGGCTATATTACCTTGGAACAAATTTATTTCTGTGAAAAAGAGCTGCCTTCACACAATGATCTAGAGCGATAGCTAGCACATGGTTCGCTTCCTTTTGTATCGACTGTGAAAAGAGCGTCATGGACAGAAACTGTTGTGAAGGGTGGTAGCTATTGACAATCACTACACTTTATTGTGTGGTGTTTTTCCTTGGAGTTATAAGGTGGTCATTCTCATAAAAATCGCAGTGCATAAAGTTTTCAATAAAAAAAGGGGTTCTTTCATCGAGCATTGAGGCAAAGTAGTGGGGTTGACTTTCACTATTGCAGTGATTGTTACTAAGTGAAAAGCCTCGATGTGAATATGTCGCTTAAAATCATTGGGCAAAGTAGTGGGGTTGACTTTCACTATTACAGTGATTGTTACTAAGTGAAACGCCTAGTGAATAATAAAGCTCATGTTCTTTTGGTGTTGGAATTCTAGAGTGATATGATTTGCACTACATATATATATATATATATATATATATGTATGTTCCGCCTCTGTTTTGTTCCTTAATGTGTTTGTGGCACAATGTTGATTTTGGATTGATTATGCATCAATCTCGCCTAGGAAATTAGGAAAGAATTTTATTGATTTTGTGTTGCATGCTATTTTATTTATCTTTCATTTTTAGGCATAAGTCATATGATTTCCTTCTTGAAATCGAGCCAATTGGGTCTTAGATATTTTGTGTGGTATGTATTATGGAATAAAATCTGATTTGCCGATTTGAATTTCGAAATAAATTGGGAAGTTATTTTTTGTGGGATGTTATGGTATGTTCGAATTTGATTTGGATGGATTTGATTGGCATAAAACCGCCCAACTCCCTTCTCTCTCCACCTTGAACCACGGAAACCAACTTTTGTGGTTTTCTATGTCAGAATCCTTTTAAAACCAACACGGCACCCCATCTCTCTTACTCATTGTTTCTTTTCAAATCTCTTCTCTTCTCTCTTCAGTTTTCTCCTACCGACCCAAACCCTAATTTTCAATCATACTTCATCGTTGTTTATCCTCCATGGCTGGTAGCAAGGACAAGTCGAATAAGCGCCATAAGAAGCACAAGGACAAGGGAACTAAGCGACGCCGGTACACGGTCGCTCCAAGCTCGCCGCGTGAGTCACCACCACCGGAAACCTCTCAGCCGCAAGCGACACCGCCTGTTACTCCGTCTGCTTCACCGAAAAAGACGGACACTGAGAACAGAACTTCTCAACTCTCTCCGATGTCCACTAATATTCCTGTTCTTTCACCTCCCTTGCTTCAAGAAATCGTCGCCGGCATAACTCAGGGGGAGTCATCGGCGTTTCCTACATCTGCTACTAAGTCGATCACCAAGGACGGAGACAAAGAGGACACCGCCGGTACTGCCATTGAAGTTCGCTCAGACCAAGAAACTCCTCCTCGACGTCCATTTGTCCGCCGATCTGCCAGGCGCGCAGGTAAAGAACCGGTAGAGACAGCTCCTGTTGAGCAGGAACCCGAGGATGACGACTATGACTTGTCCAATGCTTATTCGAACAGGTTCTATACTCAAGTCGCTTTTGGTCATTTTGAAAATTTTTCATCTTATGGTTTTTGGGCTGAGCATCCTCTTTCTGATGGGAAGTATGTTGATTTGGGTATTGTTGCTCTCATTGATGCTGTTAGTTTGTCTAAGACTGTGTCTGACCTTAGTCCTTTCTGTGGTCAAGCTGTGAGAGAGTTTTATGCAAATTTGACTCCTGTTGTTTTTACTCTTGGTACCCCTCGTTATCATAAACTCTTCCTTAGAAATAGAGTTATTGATTTCCCTCCTGAGCTTTTGAATGTGCATTTGGGATTACCTGCTGATATTTCTTCTTTGCCCGAAGTTTATCTTGACATTGTCACTCAAACCCTCTCTGCAAAACAACTTGATACCTGGCCCGGTTCAAATCTACCTGTGAGTTCCCTTTGTCTTACTGCCAACATCCTTCATAAAATTGGTGCTGGGAATTGGACGCCTACCTCCAACAAGAATTTTCTCACCGAGCTTCAGAGCAAAGTTCTCTATTGGGTTATGGATGGTCAGGTGTTTAATTTTGGTGAAGCTGTCTTTGATATCCTCCACTCATTCATTATCAACACCAAGTCTCGTCGCACCCTTCCTTTTCCTTGTCTGATTTGGTCGTTTCTTGCTGCTAACAATTTCACTGTGAATCCTCGCTTTAATGATGCACTTGAAAACCCGGGCAAAGCACTTACGGTAAGTGCTCGCACTCTGAATGAGAAAGCCACTCCCAAAGCCAAGTTTGACCTTGCACCTTCCCTGGTTCCCACCAAGTGAGATGAACTTTTGGTCCAGCAACTTGCTGAATGGGATGGAGTTGCGAAGAAGGTTGCTACCCAGCAGGCTTATCTCCGTAAAGTCCTTCCCGCTGTCAAGGGGTTGCAGAGAAAGAAGTCGGGGACAGGCCCTTCGGCATCCCGTAGTTCGAAAAAGGGGGAGAAGGATAAGAGGGTTAAGGAAGATGAGACTGAGGATGAAGAGGATGAGTCTGAGTTAGGGGGAGACTCTCCATCTGGTTGAAGTTGATGCTGGTTGTTGCTGCCTGATAATAGTTGTTAGTTTTTGTGTGCTCTTGGAGGGATGTAGTGAGGTCTTGCCTGTATAAGAACCTCTTTTGATTATATTTTGATTTGCTTGTGCCTGTGTTGGATGAACTTTGATGGTTGGTTGTTTTTCATGAATATTAATATTTAGATTATGCACTTTGATGATATTTGCAGGTACACCAAGCTTAGTCTCAGTTGCTAAGGGTGATACTCTTGCTGTTGTGATGTTTTCCCTTATGAGCTATTTGTTATTTTGTGCTTGTTGTTCTAACTGTGTTTCAGGTTATTTACATTATATGATTTTCGAACTAGATGCCAAAGGGGGAGATTGAAAGAGTATTATTTTTGGCATGAGTTCAAAAATCAATATATTAAAGATATGTTCCCGCAAGCACAAGAAATCTATATAACAGAAGTCTATTTATTTGTTTTTATAGATGTTCAAATTTCCTATTATATTTATACATCAATTGGAAATTGCATGAACTTATTATGGCATTGATTTTGTAGGACTGCGGCTTTTAAGAGACGCATACGCACAAGATAAGGAAGGATCAAGGGAAGATTGACTTGCTAAGTCATGAAAGAAAAGAAGATATTGGAGAGAGAAAAGAAGAGTCCTAAACCTACAAGACTATCTTGGATAAACTTCGAAGGCAATCAAGAATCTTGAAGAGGACTCCACGTGAAGGAAGTCATATTCTGAGCTTAGCACTTATACACGCCACCTTCAAGCTTCAAGTGCTTTTTGTGCTTACATTTTCGTTTTCAATTCAGCTCTTGTGTATTCTTTAAATGTGGAAGAACTGAGATTATTTTTTATTGTGTTTTGTCTTCATTTCATTTGAGACATTAGTCATCTACACTTAGGGAGTAAGTGTTAGAAAATAAGTCCACGGGACGTGGCCGGAGAAGTGGTTGATAGGATTGATCGTTGTTGTGGCTAGCCTAGAAGGGAGTTCTAGTTGTTATAAATCCAAACAATGTTCAAAGACGTTATCAATGAAAGAGCTCTGAGGGGAAGTGGGATGCTTCCCTGAAGAATTTTTAAAACTTTGGTTTACAGCTTCCGCTTTTACAATTATTTGCACTTGTTCGTACAACGTTTAGCGCACTCTCGATAAAAACATACATTTCAAGCTCATTTTTATCCACAATGTAAACATGGATATACTAAACGTGAAATAGCAAATTTCAAGGTGTGAGAATCAAAGAACATGAAAGCAACCTTCCATTACGGATTTGATGTTATATGCAGTATTGGATGACAAATTTAAATCAAATAAAAGCATCCATTACAACAAGCCACCCAAGACTAGTAGCAGAAAGGACAGTCAAATGTTATTCAGCCTCGTAAGTCGTAACTATAAAATAAACTGCATATACTTTGTAACTGTTCTCAATGGCGTTACTAAGTTGTGGTTTTCCATTCGTAATTATTTCAACATTCTGTACTCCTTAAGCTGTTAAAAAATTGGAGAAAGTATAGAAATTGGCCAATAAAAAAAAAGTATCCATATTTTTTACAGATTATCAAAGCATTACAGGAAATGACATCGAGTCTCATCTACCGATTGTTGCTTTCATCAATGTTGGTATCTTCTAGAATGTTGCATTTTAGTGCTGCAGAATTTGAAGTATCTGGTGACTCTAATGATAATTCTTCACTCTTACGAGCCTGAAGTCCTGTATACCGTGCAAGATCAATCCATTGCTGCGCAGTTAAGACAAATAAGGTATTAGTTGTCCACTAAAATAGCATGTGATGACATAAACAGACAACCACTTTTCATTGGAAATCAAATCTAATAGCATATCATTCAGTTGTTTGAACACGAATTTGGACTCAGATAAAATTTGAACAGATATCATTCCTGTGAAGTGCCCTAAGTTTTAAAATTTAAAAAATCATGATCATTCTACGAGAGACCACTGGAGTTTTCATGTCCCATGCATAGCCAAACACTAAATATAAACACTTCAGAAAAGAACAAGTGGTTTCCAACCTGGGTTCCCCAATAAGAGTTTATTGTTCGAGCCACAAAAGAGATCAAATTAACAAGCAATTCCTGGTCAATCTGTTCTGAAATCCGGTGCTCCACTATTCCAGCAATAGCCTGAACAAAAGAATGACATCATATATTCATTATGCACTTAAAGAGAGGTAATCAGATGCTTTCCGCTGCAAATAAAAGAGAATTTTGGTTCTTAATTTCCAGATTCTGTTTCATATTTTCCTGAGTATATTGACCAACAGTAATTCACACTGAGTTGAGACATATTATTACAGAAGAAAATCATGTTATCTGACATAATGAAATCTTGCCAATTTCACATCGTACAGATGATAAATTATGACTTCCACACTGATATAAAAGGAATAACGGTGAAATGCGGGACAAAAGAAAACGCGAATGCACAAGAGGAAGTAATGTGACAAGTCTTAAGAAGTAGTACCTCATTGTAACAATAAAATGCAGAAAGAATGATACCATAATTCACTTCATGAAAAATCACAAAATATTCAATCTCATTTCCACACAAGAAAGGAAATGATTAAGTGCCGGGAAACTGAAAATTCTTACAAACCTGATAGCGCAGATTTGCTGATGTTCCAAGAAAGGTACTATAAACAAAGGCTGTTTTCAGTATAGGCGATCGTTTATTCAACTGCTTCATGTTTGGATTAAGAAGTTTCCGCAGGGCGTTGAGAATATTAGATGAAGCCACAGCCCCAATGCTAGATATGAATCCAACACATGCCAGTTTGAAACCACCAAAAAGCACTGATGCGATTCTGTGATTGAGATTCCAGTCTTTCCCTGCAAGATTTTTCTGGAACGCATTGTCCGGAATGGATCCCAAAAGGCCTTTGACCGCTTCCAAGCTGTCAGGGGCAGTAACATCATTAATAGTCGGGAGGAAAGACAAAGTCGGGGCCGGAAGCCACACGGTGAAGAAGTCGACAACTATTCCTCTTAATGTATCTGTAGCAACATAATCGAGCTCTTCAAAGAAATTCTCTTTACGCCTCTCATACTGAGCTAAGAGGGTAGTTGTAATTGATATGGCCTCTTCTATAGCTAATCTATTGAGAAATTTAGGATCTGCCAGTAACCTTTCCCTGAAACCCTGGGCAACAGAATTCACATGATGAACATCAAAACTTTCTTAGTTACAAACAGACAGGATCATCTACAAACAGAGTACCTGGAAACGGTGAGTCAATTCGGATATGATGGGATACTGCTCCAAATCAAAGAAATTCTGTAATACTTCTGGTGATACAAGACCAAGATTTAGTCCAGTCTGAATATCCTGATATACATACATTAAATTTGTCAGAGCAATATCAACTGAACATGCAAGATGGATGATGAATATCTCAGCACAAGTTGCAAGACTTGTAAGATGCAAATAATAAATAAATAAATAAAAAACTGAGTAGTTTGAATCCTTATATGAAAACCAATTATGTGAAGAAACTATATAAAAGTGAAAGGCATCAACATATGAATGTTTACTTTATTAATTCATTTCAAGCCATTACAAAGTAGTTTAGTTACAATACTGAAGGACAGAGGCTTCCAAGCATCGGGTAATGCATACTGCACTTGAACACCCCTTTTCTGTCTTCGCCAATTAGTAAGAGAAGACAAAAACCCTAAGCATGGAAATAGCAGTTTCCAAAAATCAAAGCATCAATGAGGTTCCGGCATTTACCAAGATACAATAACCACCAAATATTCCCAAAAACTTGAGTTATTTTATTAGCAAACCTGTGGTAAAGCTTCTCTCGTTCTTCCTGCTGCATTCATAACTCGAGCAATTTCAGCACGGTCGAAACAGTTTCTACTACACGGCCTCGCTGCAGAATACCACAAGAAATCTGCTACGGGTACTTCACCCTCCCGCCTTATGTATTGCCTTTCAGGGTCAAGTAATACTACCACTTGATTTTTCTTTTGCATTTTCCTTGAAATTCTTGCAGGCAGTCCAGTTCCTCTCGACCCATAAGTGACATGACTAGCGCCTGTAACTACTACCAGCATGACTGTCGATCCACCATCCACCAATGCTTGTAAGATGACCTGTGACATCGTGTAGTCCTCGACTGCTTTTGCTTGAATTGAAAGGTATGACTTTGGACCGTAAGAAGAAGGTTGACTGGTAAAATTTAAATCAATTGATGATCTCCTGGAGATAGAAGGGAATCCAGAGATGAAGCCTGAACCAGCTGGAGGAGCATATTTCCTACGATCAGCTTTTGAGAGCCCATGAACTCCTTCAGCTTGAACTGTGCGTAGGACCTATTCAATCAATAAATTGTAGGACTATAGGTTGCCATCTGATTTCCTCACATTGATAAGTTATGAATTAAATAAATTATCAAGCTAGAAGAGGGATAAAAAATTATAACAATGTAAACTTTCTGTGTTCTTGAACAGCAACGGTAAGTTATTTCTGAAATAGTCTTTTGCTAATATGTTGGGGCTTTAGAGATGATTGTGATATTGTTTAAGTGCATTCTAAAAGATTTAGAAATTGGAATCTGCACAAGCTGAAACTATCCCATGACAATTTCTTCTGGATAATGATACTTTTGCATTAGACATATGTAAACTGAAGAAAGTACAGATTTTTACTGAAGTAACTGTCCCAGGGCATTATGCTCTGCTACTGTAAGTTTACATAATCCTATAGGACAGAACTGAGACAGGTAAACTTCACATCTAAATGTGGTGGTCATTACCTCAAGTGGGACACCACATGCAACCAATCGTATCCCATAATCGCGACAGTAAGTTAATAGAGGCTCATACTCTTGCCAGCGCTGAGATGACCAATATGTTACACAAGACTTAAGTGCCTCTCCGTCGATCCTTCAATGAGTTGATAAATTTTCAATAAGAGAATACAATAGTTATGTGTAGCAGGGGATACACAGGAGTAGAAACAGTTTTGCAACCAGCATGAAAGGGAAAAGAACAGGTAGATGAAGCTATCACCACTAAAACCTAAATTTAGTCCACATGTGACAAAAATCGAAGTTGGAACATGAACTGTACTTCATGATATACAAAAATGTCAAGAGTACTGAACAACACATCAATTTGGAAAACTAATCATTTGATTTTGCATTAAAAGAAAATGAAACATAAACCATATCAATACATGAGTATTGAGTCTAATATCAACTGAAACAGGAGATCAACGCTATTCCAAACAAAAAAAATGAGCATACGTTAAACCATATAAGAAACTTGTTATTAGACTTGCAGAGAGAAATTTTACCTTTTATCCATAAATCGGTTAAGTTGTTCCTGCAAATCACAGGGAAATGCCTCCATAGCCAAAGACAAGTGCCGCTTAGCGTTCACACATCTCTTCCTCAAATTCCTCACAATCTCAAGCTCCAAATCTTTGTCATCTCGAATCGGAACCTGCTCTGCCTCACCTAAGTACACAATCCGCGCATCCATCATCTTCTCCCAAACCTTACTTTTGTCCTTCCCCAGCGCCATTGGCTCTCCTATCACCGTGGCGTCATAGATCCGCGAATTTACCACCTCCTCCTTGGCCGCCTCTGGCGATTCCGCCGCGCCATCAGAACTCAAAGCTGACTGCTTAGGAGCTTGACGAGCCTCCATATGGCTCTCCATCTCCGGTCGCTCCTCCGCTCTAGCCACCGCCGATCGGAGAGCGTAAGCTCCAGCGGCGAGGAATGGAGTAATAAGCACATCCCGCCGCTTCTTCAGACGCGTCTCACTGGAGTGTTCCGGCGAACGCTGGCAGAAGATCGGAAGGCTGAAGTGGCGGCGGCAGTTACCGCAATTTTTACTGGCAGTTATATAAAAACCCGGTGGTTTTACGCATAGAGCGTGAGGCTCCATCAATTTTCTTTTCTAATGGCTTTTTCTAATCCCGATAGAGTTGGTGCCGCTACGCCATTTTTTCAGGAGGCAACAACGCGAAAGAGAAGTAATTTTATTTGCGGCCTCGAAAACTATTTTCAATGACGTGGAAGACATGGGAACTGATCTTGTGGTGGATTTAGAAGTAGTCGGGTTTTATTTTAATGGCGGAAAACGGAAGTAGGACCTCTGGAGTGGCCACTCAAACTGCAGATATGTGCTGTGAGATTATGAGCCCTTGTATTAAACTCAAGAGCATCAACGTCTTATATTTTTTTAATAATTGTGGCCTACAATCGAAACTAGGAAATAAATTTTGAGTTATGCTAAATTATCGGGGTTATTGCACCAAATCTCTTTATATTATACTAAATATGCGTGTTTTTTTCCTATTATTTAAAAATTGCGTTGAACTCACTCTGTATTATACTTTGGCTAACTGATACTCCCCAATTTGTGTTAACACCGTTACATGTTTGTCGGCCTTTTTCCGAGGGTGGCCTTGGGGTTCGCCGCTTATCGGACGTAGTCACCGCCTTCTCTTATAAGATGTGGTGCGCTTCAGGGAGGAAAAGTCGTTTTGGGCTCATAGAATCCAGGTCTAACTCCCTACTTGGCCCTATCGCAAACCTCCTATGTACATACAACAAATCTTCCGACCAGACATCGACAAGGATGTAACTGGAAACCTTCCCACCCCGAACAACACACGGATCATGGGATCCTTTCCAGGAGACAGTGGAGCTGTTTTTCTCCTTCCGAATAACACACGGACCGGGGCCTCCACCTCTCGAATCACATACGGGCCGGCGACCTCTCACTGTTTATGAATTCGACAAAGGCACTAACAACGGGATACCTAGACTAGGGTTCTCACGCATACGAAAGCTATCGAGACAAACATTTATACGAAATAACAAGTGCGATAATTATAGATACAACGTAAATGTACCCACTTGATTGCAGCGACAAAACAAAAATATGAGTCTCGAATAAGGGGTGAGGTCTGTTGTAGCAAAATATATTTTTACTAAGTACCGAATCGAAAGATTCGTTCCCCGGGTCGATCTCTCGAGGAAGGCGGTTCGGAATTTAGGAATGGTGTTGATAACTGTTTGTCCCATTTTTGTTGCGTTTTTCTTACTTATTTTTCCTTTCTTTTTCCCCCATATTAGGTCTATTCCTTGGTTTTTAGGTTGTTTTATGGTTTATTGTGTGTTTTGCTTTATTTTGGTTCTTCTTGTGTTTTTCGTTTGTTTTTCCGATTTTTCTTTGTTTGCGGTGTGCAGGTCAAAAGCTTCGGGAGAATCTATTTTCCATGATAAGTGGGCTAGGTGAACATCATTTGATAGAGCGTTTCGTTGGCAACGCACAGGAAAAAGCGGAATTGAATTCCGATGTCAAACGAGTCCGAACGACTCCGAAAGGTGAAGACACGCAAGTGGTCCGAGCACCAGTACTAGCGCCGCGCCGGGCCCCCGCGCCGTGACACCCGTCACGGGCCTTCAGACGGTGCCTCTCCCAGTGCCGCGCCGTGGAGCGCCCCGCGCCGTGCCAGCATCCCATGAGGTGGACTGGGGCTCCAGACGTTCACACACGCCACGCCGCGCCGCGACGCACCAGTCCTCCGCGCCGCATCATGTCACCGCGCCGCGACACCGTGCCCAGGAGAACACCACTCCACGCCGCAGGCCAACTCGTGACGACTCCCACGCCCGGACAGAGAACTCGGCTTCAGCGGACCTCACGCCGCGATGCAATCTTTTCTCCACACCGTGTGACCTCGTACCTATAAATACGAGATCGAGACTTCGACACGGATCTATCTCTCATTATCCCTCATTCGACGAAGACAAAAACCCTACCCCTTTCTCTTTTCACTCGTTTTTCACTTCTCTTCCATCGTTTTTAACGTAGAACAAGGATTTTATCTCGGATTTTGCTACTGCTTGCGGATTAATCTTGTTTATCAGATTCAACTCTCAATTTCGATTTAACGTAAGATTTTCTATTTTTTCTAATCCATGAATATGTTTGTCTTGAGTTGTGAGATTGTTTGTGTTGAATCAATCATGAGTAGCTAAATTCATATGCTAGGGAATAGGGGATTAATGTTTTGAATTCGTTTGTGATTGTCGGGATTTATTGATCGTTCCATTCGTACGAGTTATGCTTTAAAAAGGGTTTTTTCAAATATTGAGCCTGAGTATTGAGAATTATTGAAGAGTGACACTTCAATTTCTAATCTACGATTGAATTCGATGTATTCTCGCATGATAATGGTTATTCTTATTGATTAGTCGGTTGACAACCCTCTAGTCTAATCTAATCGACTCTTAGAACCGAAAGGGGAGGAGTCGGTCGAAATAGGCTCGTACAAACTAGGCTTATTCGTAACTGTATTGCCTAGGAGTTAAATGACTTGTTAATTTTTCCATTCAAGTTTGTTCTCTTGTTACGAAGAGTTATTGAGGATGAATACTTGAACGAGCAAATTATTCAAATCACTTAACCTAACGATCACTTGCCCAATAGTCACAACTCGAACCAAAACGGATATCCCCGACTCCCTAGCTCCTTAAATCCTACTTGTCCTTCGTTGATTGTCTGCTATTTATATTTGCTTTATTTGAAATTTTTCTTCGTAGTTAATAATCGAACCAAATCATCTGAATTAGAATGTTTAGGAATTTTATTTCCTTTTGTGTGGTTGAATAAACGTGCATAATAATCCGGCTAACCTTCCTCGAGAGACACGACCCGGTGTTCGAGTCTTTTGATTCTACTCTGGAAAAATATTTACAACAAATTGGCGCCGTTGCCGGGGAGGGTTTAGGACATATTTTGTGCGCTTATTCACCTTATTTTTCGTGTTTCTTTTTGGTTTTGTGTTTTTCTTGTTTTCGGTGTTTTTTTTTCTTATTTTATTTTATTTTCTTTACTATTGGTGCTCGTAACCTGTTTGTTGCTTGCGTGTATGCGTACCAGGAGTGGACTTATATTATCCCCAATCAACAAGTCGGTTAACGAGAGCTTGAGAGAGCTGATAGAAGAGCTGACCCTCGAATCACACACAGAAAATGAGCTTTCCCCCAAGTCATCCGAGGGGAGTAACTCAGACATGGCTGATCAACAACCGCCTCGTAGCATCCTCCGAGATTTGTCCCAACCCATGATCGGGCCGATCACTTCCTGTATCCGGCTGGAGCAAAACGCCCGAAACTATGAGCTGAAGATGGTCCACTACAATCAGCTCCCATCCTTTCACGGGCTCCCCAACGAAGACCCGCTTCACTTTCTTCGGGAGTTCTACAACGTCCTCCAGACGTTCCCACTACACGGGCTAACCGAAGACCAGCTCAAAATGCGGTGTTTTCCAGAAACCTTGAAGGACCGGGCCAAGGCTTGGTTCATGACTCATGCCCCAGATTCTCTAACAACTTGGGCCGAGGTCTATGCTAAATTCGTTGGGAAGTACTATTCCAATCAAAAGACCCAAGATGTCCGATCTCAGATAGTCTCTTTCGCTCAGCTGCCAAACGAGCCTCTTCACGAGGCCTGGGAACGTTTCAAGGATCTACAGAGGCAATGCCCTCACCATAACCTCTCCCCTGGGCTGTTAGCGAATTGCTTCTACGACTCCCTTCATCAGAATTTGCAGTACATGGTGGACAACGCAGCTGGAGGGGATATTGGGGGCAAAATAGCTGAAGAAATGATTGCAATCTACGAGACGATGAGTGCCAACTCGTCTCAGAAGAGTATCAGAGGGAAGCGGTCCACAGTGAATGAGGTTGGCTCAAGTAATAATGCTATGGCCCAGCAGTTAGCCGAGCTCACGGAGCAGATGCGGCTACTAAATGCTCGAAGTTCCTCGCCAATACAGGCTATGGCCGTGAGTGCTTGTGGAGCATGTGGAGTACAGGGGCACAGCTCTGAGGTGTGCCCATCAGCTGTCGAGCCAGGCTATGGAAGCCAAACTACCGAGGTGAATGCAATGCAGGGGTACCAAAACCATCCCGGAAATGACCCCTTCTCGAACACATACAACCCTGGGTGGCGAAACCACCCTAATTTTTCATGGTCCAACAATCACTATCAGCAACCACCTCAAACCAAGTTTGTCCCTCAGCAGCAGCAACCTAGGGGGATGTTAAGGCTGCCAGCACCAGAAACCGGACCAACCCAGTCGAGCACAGACGACAAGCTGGACAAAATCCTCAATTTTGTCACAAATCATGACGCCTCCATTAAGCATCTTGAGACACAAGTGGGCCAGCTAGCCACACGGGTAGGGAGCATCGAGTCGGAACTGGATAAAGGGAAGCTACCGAGCCAGCTGGAACACGCAAAATCCATGACGGTGATCATGGACGATAATAAGGGCCCGAGGAAGCAAAATGAGAAAGATAAGGCTCCGAAGATATCGCCTACTGAGTCGACTTTGCATAGATCTCCGAACCCCTACAGACCGAAAATCCCATTCCCGAGCCGACTGTTAGAGGAGAAGGACCGCACCATGATTCGGGACCTTCATGCGATGTTGGCTAAGGCCAATATAGATTTATCTCCTCCCGATGTGTTGAAGAAGATACCGGCTTACGCGAGATTTTTCAAGGAAGTGGCAGCAAATAAGCAGAAACTCGGAAACGGTGAAGAAGTGCTCGTGTGTGAAGCTGCAAGTGTCTTCCAACAGAACTTGCCGAAAAAAGAGAAGGATCCCGGGGGCTTCGTGATTTCTATGGCCTTTGGGAATGGGGAAGAGACATCAGGGTTGCTTGACCTGGGAGCGAGCTTCAACCTCATGCCACTTGCAGTTTACCACCGACTCGGGCTAGGAAACTTGAAGCCCACCGGCATGCGCCTGCAGCTAGCCGATCGCTCATACCGTCGACCAGAAGGGATTGTGGAGGATGTGCTCGTACGAGTAGGAAAGTTGATAGTTCCCGTGGACTTCGTAGTGCTCGATGTGGGGAACGTGGAAGACAAAGGAAAACAACACGCCATCCTCCTCGGGCGACCTTTCATGGTGACAACCGGAACTGTTATTGATGTGAGGAAGAGGACGGCAACCATGGCAGTGTTAGGCGAGTCCATCTCCATTTCCGTTCGAGAGACCCAGCCTGATCTGCAAGCAAAATCTATGGAAGAATGCATGTCCCTTAGGGCGATTGAGCAGTTGACTGAGGAAGCGTGTATGCGAGAGTACACGAAGAGGTTGTTGCAAGACCGTGACCACATCGAGATGGGACGCCA